ACATACCGATAGTCTACTCTGCCGTTTTGCTGAAATGATGCGGCTACCACGAATACGCGAGTTAAATGACACGCGTGAGTATGGTTCACGAATGAGAATGAAAGCCAGCTGATGATGTTCTATAACAATGCGGTCGTTTGACTGCATCTCGTTGTGCTCTCTTTACAGACCAGGTGATTCATCAAGACCAAAACACACCGCTTAGCAGAATTTTCAGTTGCGGTTCACTTGAATTTTTACCCGACAAAACTGTGTCAACTGTGGCCATGGGTGATCACAACTCACAAGCCCGTTCATCACTCTTGGTCAGTCCTGTCCGAGAGAAATGCTCTGTGTATTTTTTTTCACCGTTAAACCGATCTGCTCTTCGCTGTGTCAGGAGCGAGACCTTTGAGTTCTTCGCATGTCTCCCGAAAACTCAAACCGCGAGTCGTTCAGCCAGACCAAATGTGTTTTGCCAACGTCCGTTAATTTCATCTTGCAAAGGTAACTTGTTGTTCACGTACAGTGAAAGGTCGACACGAAGCGACGGGCTTTCCCCACCACAAAGAAACATACGATTCAGGAAATGACGGTGTGAACGGGTCTATGTTTTGGTCTAAGTGAATCGCCTGGTAGGTCGAAACGGTTTGAAAAACGACCTATGTGATCTGCTCTGACAGGGAGAGACCACGATATCAGCTCGTGTATGTTTTTGGTGAATTCATGCTCAGCTATTGTTCATTTGGCAAAGACAGTGGATTCATGTGGTCTTTCTGACTATTGTTCGAGTCTCATCTGCTCCCACAATTTTTTCTCGTAGCTAATCTTGTGAACACCATTGTACTACACAGCTTCCCATTGAAATTGTGCTGTATGTTCTCCATCCATCCATTAGATCCATTGTCCACATCAACCCCGTACATTGATGCAGCCGTCCCGGAGCCACCCATTCCCGACTGGCCTCGGGCACTCGAATTGACTCCAATCAATACACAACATTCTTCTCCTCGGCCACCGTGGAATGTGTCCGATATGACCTCGGATGATTCCTGTCGTATGCCATTGCTCAACCATGATGCTGCCCCGACCATTGCCGCACGCTTCACTCTGTCCTCTTTGGATACATGTACTCGCGATCAGGGTCCGGTTGCACCCACTGCCAGCCCGTCTGACGAACAGTCAGTGCTTCTCTCACCAGCTTCCTCCGCTTATGGGAATAAAATGCCACAATCGCTAAGCCCCTCATGTTCCTCGTTCCACGTGGGGGATGATGCGAGCGCTCCGGCCGAACGGGCCCAATCGCTTTGTGATGTTGGCCGCACGTCAGAAAGAAGTAAGTTCTTCAGGACCGTATATTTGTTTGGGCCACGTGGTTAAACTCTTACCAGTTTGTAAACCGCGTCTTTTGGTGATGAACTCCAAATGCCCGTTGATACAAAACCACTACGTTTACACCTTCAAGCATCCGTTTTCGTTGCTCTGTTGTGACTACTTATTGCGATGAAGAAATAGACACAAGGTGCATAAGATTGCTTTATACCATATCAGTGTAAAAACAGCGAATTTAGGTAATTGAGTAAATACACGAGCACCAGTAATCACGACGATTGTCCATGAACAATACGTTTTCTGCGCTAGAGATACTGTTTTATTAAAATCGAAATGTTCCTGTGGGGTCCATCTGTTATCTCTTTTGGTTCTCATAACCGGGAGTCCGTTTAGTACCGTCTGTTAATACATTTCAAGTGCGACCTTCGAAGGAGTGAATCTCACATTAGAACAGAATGCTGAAACTCCGATGGCTGTGAATATGAATGGACAAGACGATGAGAACGTTCTTCCATGGGGCAACAACAACTGTCGTTACGGGACGGGTCGAATTTGACTATTTCGCGTTATCTCCTCAGCTGTGTACAAACCATCGTGTATACTCAAAACCGGAATTCCGCGTGCCAGTTCGACAGGAGTCTTGGCTGTTTTTGTGGTTTGCTGAAATCCTAGTTATTTGGTGTTAGAAACCAGACCGTTGTAAACAACTGAACTTTGATTAGTCTAATCCCGTCATAGTAGGACTGCTACAGTGCTCCCGATGGATAACTGTTCTACTGCCCTTCCTTGCTGTCCAGTGACTGGTGACTTTTGATTTTCGTGGTAACACTTGGCTCACCTCGAATATTTTTGATATTCAACGTTTTCTATTGTTCTGATCGCATGTTTGTACACAATTAAACAAGTGGCCAACCATGATGTTCAATTGCTGTGTGTTCTTTTAGCTCGTGTTCCCCTGGCTGTTTCACAATCCTGTTCACTGCACGGGACCGTGTGGAACTTATCTTTTCAGTTGAAATAAATGATCGAAAAACTTCGACAGGCGCTGAGTTTTTAGTACGGTTGAGGTTCATACGATTGTCGGCTGCTTCTCTCTCTCTCTCTCTCTCTCTCTCTCTCTCTCTCTCTGTCTCGCTCACCTTCCCAATTTGTAATAGCATTCATCCTGTCCATCTACTACCTCTCTTCCCACAGTCTTCGGGTCTGCAACTGCGGATGTGGACGTGCTCAATCCCACTGTCTCAGGTTTATTTCATCGTTTGCTTGAAATGGAGAGGTGAGTTTTTTGTTTACATCAATCCTAACTATTC